CTTATTCTTTACTGAATTTAATACATCCTTGCTTCAATTATCCTGGGGCTCACTCAACTAGAGAAAAGCAAAGCTTTAATGATTTCAGAGCATCTGTCACAATTTAGAAAAGCCAGGAAGTTGGTGTGTTTTCTGGAGTGTAAATAAAAGGGAGAAACAATTAAGGCTTCTCCACTGTCTCCCAGGAACAGGCTAATGATTCCTGTGTGTATGCTTTAGCACTTTCCTCTTTCTAGAGGACTATACATAGGTCATATGTTAGTGACTTTAAGCAACTTAAAGTATAAACCAATAATTCTTCATGAAATCTTTTGCACTATCAAGTACAATTCATCCTCCAAAAATAGGCTTAAACACAAATAAAACAATCAGTGATTTTAAATGGAGAAGAGATAGTTTTAAGATAAGATTTCAAGCAAATTTTCTCCTATGGATCTTAGCAACCAAATGATATGAAATAGAAATTAAAAATGTAATTTGTTTTCAAAGAAAAAGTAAATGTCTGAAATTAGAGCTGAAGTTCACATTTTAGGAAAATCTGAACATTTGTTTTCATCCCTTGCTCTGTTTTGTTTTTAGTAATTGGTCCTGCTTATTAACGTAACCTTTTTGACATATAAATACCACCTAAACCCCATATAACTTCCTATTTCTTATAATCCTCAGCATAGCTGGTGGTATAAAGATTAAAGTTTAGCCAATTAGCCACCCACTAGAGCCAAGTTAATCACATAACCTTTGAGATGGTCACAGAGCAGTGGAGTATATAATGATTTTTCAACCCCCTCTCTTTACAAAGATTTAACTAATTGTGAGACTGAACTCTTGAATACAAAGGAGCAGTGGAATTCTCAATCAGAGGCTGTGTCGTTGCTTTCTAAGTTGGGGCTTATCTTCTTCTAAGAGACACTGTTGCACAGCAACTTCTTTAACAAGTTTCCAAATACCCCAAACTAGTCAACCATTGCGTCTTTAGTCCAAGGCCTCACATCAAGGCTTACTGCTTCAGAATAATCATCAGTAATCCTTAAAGCAAAAACCAAGATTCTATCACATGACAGTTTAGTATTCAATGACGTGATTGCCACATTAATGTCTGCTTAAAGTAAATGCTAATCCAAACTGAAGCCTGACATTACTCGTCTCTCCTTAATAAGGCCACAGATGAGGATGAAGACAAATGAGCAGAGGGAGGGTCAGGGTGACTCATGGGAATGAGAAAGGGGGAAGAAGGCCAGAGGCAACACTAGGTTTAGGGGAGAGGAAAAGAGGATTACACAGGAAACGGAAAAAAGGGACAGAGGTAGGGTATTTGAGGAGAAAGATGCTCAAAAGGTTCCCAGCAGGTTCTGATGGCCTTGACCAATTCTGTGATCACTGCTGCTGGTTATCATGTGCTTAGAAATACTGATGAGCAGATCAGCCCCGGTTCTCCAAAAGTTCAAGGGCTATTGTGATAACCCGGCGTGAATGACAACATATGCTGTAAGGGGAATATCTACAGCATTTCTGACAAGCTTTTATGATCATGTACCCAGCTCCCAACATGTCAGAGCAACTCGCACTGAGTTTCCAGAATCCTTGAGATCAAGCATCAGAAGCAAACAAAACTGCTGGAGGAATCTAAAATAGGGAGTCAACCAAAGCAGGAGTTCATAGCTCAGAGGACTGAGGAAATCTTTGGAAGTAACTGAAGACAATCGAAGATTCAACTGGTAGAGACGAAAATTACCTTTCCTCAAAAACACAGGTAAAACATTTGGTGTAAGAAACGATGAGGCAATTTAACAATCAAGAAGCAAATGATCAAACTGAACTCTGAACTGATATTGGTCATATCTGCAACTGAATTCAGATTCCAGAAGAATAGATCCAAGAAAAGAATGACTGTGTTATCAGAAATTGAGGCTGGAAAGGAAAATTATGGGTGGAAAAGGCGGGGGGAAATAACACTCTAACATAGGTAAATGAATCAATCAAAGACCAGCACTTTGAACCTTAAAATGCAAAATCATTTGGTCCTACTTTAACCCTGATGCATTAACTCATCTTCACATGTACTGCTTGCTCTTGTAAGAACACACTGGAGGGACCCTCCCTGAGAGCTCGATCTGTACCATCCAGGCGTCCACTCCACAGTGCTGAAGCAAGCTGCCCAAGGATTTTCAGACACAGTGCATGAGAATGACCTTATTTAGTACACATTTTCTTGTTTGGCCATATTCCCCTGGGATGTCGATAGGATTTCCATTTTTGGGACGAGTTTATGTGAACACATTTCTGTTGGAGTAGACATAATGGGTCTAAAGCGATCCCAGCCTCACAAAGATCCACAAAAATGACAGAAGCTCTCATTCCAGGCTGTCCCTCACTGTCTTGTCCTCTTGTTATCTGCAATGACTTACTTTCTTCAAGGTGATCAATATACACTTGTCACACTGGCTTCTTACCCTTGGCTGAGTCTCCATACCATCTTAAATGGACCCTCACTATCTGTTACGTACATTTCTACCTTCTTCAAATTACTCCTCAGAAGTCATTTCTTCTCTGTTATTCAGTACTGAGTCAGTTCCAATTCAATCATAATATTGCCCAGGCCTGCACCAACCTCATAAATGTTGCCATGTTTGAGCCCAATGTTGCATCTTTATAGCATTTATAATTTTTTTTAGATAGGATTGTTCTGGAAGTTTATTCTGAACTATTTTAGACTTTAGTTCCTCAAAAAAACAAGCAACCAAACCCCACAACCTCTGTGTATGTGTGTGTGTGTGTGATATATGTTATATACGTGTTATATATGTGTTATATGTTATATATACATAAATATACATATATACACACAGTCCTCATTTTCATCGAGAGCTCATCAGTTAACTTCATTATTTCAAGTCCTCAGGGCTCTAGCTTTCTTTGCTTCACAGTTTCTCCTCAGTTCAGTCTCCTTATCCTTCTGTCCCTAATTATTCACCAAAAAGCAACACCTTTAGGTCCAATGTCTGGGTGGTCCTAGCAGTAGTATTTCAGATGTCCCCAGAAGGCTTCTATCCAAAACACCTCTGCCACCTGTCAAATTCCCTAAAAATTCCCCCACCAATTAATTTACTTTGGCTCCAAACCTAGGGCTCAAGGAGGTTTCAGAAGATTTGTGAATACTGGTTTCAATGCCAGAATTAATGTCACATCATTTTCTAAGAAGACATCAAGCAAAGGCCTGGGTCCTTCTGGAGCATGCAGAGGGTGGTTTGGAAGAGCTGGAAGCCTCTGGGAAGGCAGGAAGAAGCATAAACTCACTACTAGTCTGATGATAGCACAGCATTTCAATATTGACAGGTGGCAGAGGTCTTTTGGATGGAAGCATGTTTGTTTGTAAAGGAGTCCCTGGTGATGCAAAAACAGCTTGAATGTTCAAATGCCTCAGAAAGTAGGCCTAGGGATCTCCTTCTGAAAAACGAGCCATTGAGCCCCTCTGGTGGTGTAGTCTGTGGCACGTGTGGTGCTAACAAAGGCCAAAAGGCTCCTGTTGTTGTTTGCTTTTTATAACTGTGTGGAGCATGGTTTTCCTCTGACGTACAATAAGGTCACCATTATTCAGAGTTGACTCACTGGCAACTGTTGTTAATATCTATAAAGGTTGTTTCATGGTGTCAACAACAATGGAAAAGTAGGGAAAACATAAATCTCATTTTAAGGTCAATGACTCATGCAGACGATAGCACAACAGTCAGCAACAATGCTGAGATGACCTGCTTGTCCAGCTCTTGTAGCACAAGATGAAGAGCTGGAGACAGAGGTCTAGATCAAATCTGGGCTCTGCGATGTATTAACTTTGCTGTCTTCTGCGGGTGGCTTGATTCTCTGTGCTGCAGTTTGTCCTCTGTAAAATGGGAACCTACCTCAAAAGGCTATCGGAAAAGATTTCCTGAGCAGACTGCACAGAAGCAGCTGAGCAGCGGTGGCCGCAGAGGACAGACAGAAACTCTAGTTACTCCGGCCTCACTTACTCCCACCGAAAAGAATGCAAATTTCATTTTGCTTCTCGACTTTCAAAACTTTCTTCTGGAAATAATGGATCACCCTTTCCTGAGAGGATTTTAACCAAAAAGAAAGTTTCACTCTCTTAAGTTTGCCCAAGGGCCGTTGTTCACAATAATCTTCTGGAACCCCCCATTCTCCCAAACTTTAATCTGCCTTAATTGGTCTGTGGTGGACCCAGGACTATATAGGCTAAGTCAAAACCATTCCTCTTGGGAGGCCATATTACTCTTAAATAGGAATGAGGCAGAAACTAGTTGCTGCTTCACAAACGAAGGCATCATCCCTCGTGGCGAAGAGGGCGAGAGGCCAGCTTCTAGCCCTACCTCTTTTCCTTCTGTTATGGCTCCACAGTGATATTGAGGGAGTTTCTGGAAGTTGGCGGAGGCCAATTCTAAAGATGTAACAATTTATGGCTCATTAACCTCAGCCTTGGAAAGCTGGAACACTTCTCTTCGTCTTCTAAGTGAGCTGAGCTCAAAGCAGCTGTCAACCCTACAGTGTGAACCACTCACGTGCAAAGAACAGGGGCAACAACCCAACTGCCACATTCTTCAATGTCCAGGGACTCTGGGCAACAATCTTATTTTACGGACATTTTTTACAGCATGCCAATAAAAACCTTGGTTCTCTGCACAGATAACTCAAGTAAGTGACTTCAAGAGTTTAAGATAGTTCACAGAGCAGCAAGTTCAACCTAAATAAACAAAAGGAATTTACAGACTTAGTTTTATATACAGATGATATCAGCCATCCAAGGTGAGATCCAGCTGACAATATCTGGTTTATCAAATTTAGAAAATCAATGAAAATTAAATGGAATATACAAATCAGCAAATACTATTAATGGACAGAATATATTCTACTACTTTAAAAAAATCATTAAGCCATTCAAGAAAATAACCATAATCTATGCAAATAAATTTTTACCCACCAAAGTAATCCCTGTAAGTGAAACATCATACCTGATTACATCTGGTTCTGCACCCTCATTCTTAAAGGATGCCAGAAGAAGTCTCTCTCGAGTTACAAGATCATCCAGTAGGTTCTGTCTTCGATCCCCTTCAAGTTGGGTTCTGCAAACATCTTGTTAAGGTCCAGTGGTAGATGAATTGCCTCATTTTACCTACTGCATGGTAAAGCTAACTTACCAAGTCATGGTGACATCTACAGATGCAAATCAATAATATATAGAAGATATTGGAACATTCTTCTCTTTTTCTGACCTTTTCTCTGACCTTCAACTATCTTGACAGTACCTCAACTTTATAAGTACTACATAAATATTTTTTCCCCTCAGTGACCTAATTTTAAATGAGTTGTTTCTGTCAACAATGTAATTTGGTTCCAGATGCTTCAGACTTGGAGTTATATAAATGTCAGTGTTCAAAGAGTGTTTTCCTAACATTAATGCCCTAAGGTGTTGAAGGAGGAAAAAAAAAAGATGAGTTCTCCTTTCTATATTAGTTTTCTTGATACATTCCATAGGTTAAAGGACGGGGCGGGGTGGGGCAGATAAAGAAAATGCTGAGGGAGAAAAAAAACTTCCCATGAAGAGACCAAGTGAAGAAAGCTAATAAAGACTTTTGAATAGAAACATCTGACCTTGACATAAAAAAATGAAGGTAATAGTAAGAAGTCACCTCAACTCTCCGGCTTTTACTCCTTCATTAATAGTCCTATTTTTTAATAAAGCTAATATACTATTAACTCAAAATAACCTTTCCAAAAATTTCCTAATTTTAGTAATAGAAAAAAAATCATAAAATTATACTTTTCTGATAATTTAAAAAAATAAATAGAAACTATTACATTTAGGCCTCAAAAGTTTGAGAATTTGGTGTCACCATTCTCTGTGTGGGAAAACCATGGCCTAGTGAAGCTACAATTATTAATGCTAATTTAAACTTTTTTTAAAAGCCCAAAAAGCTGACTAGCTAGTCAAAGGGCATTCTGGTGAGACAGTGCATAGCCAGTTGCTCTGTGAACCCAAAAGCCGTGTATCCACGGAGGTTCAAATCCACCAAGGGTTCCTAGGGGCAGTCTCCTTCTATGTAATTTACAGCCTTGGAAAACCTGGTGAAATAGGTGAAACTCTGTAAAAACTCTCTCCAGTAATAGCCAGCTCAAAGCAACCATACAAGCCAGGGGAGAACTCCCCCAAGGGGTCACCAGGGCTGTAAATCTTTATGGGTCCTCACTGCCTTGCTTTTTCCCTGCACAGTGGTGGGTGGGTTGAAATTGCTGACCAGTGTGGTTACAGCTCAATGCCTGGGCTACATACAATGGCACCAGGCCTCCTTCAGTAATAGACATTAATTAGAAAAATCTGAATCACCCAAATCTGATCAGTACTGTTGGATTTAGAAAAAAAAAAGTGTAAAATGTTTTCTCAACATTACAGAATGCTAGACCCTCCCGAATCACACTACTGTTGTAAAGAGGCCATGGTCTACTCTAACCCATGGCAACCTGCGTAAAACCAGGAAGGAACACTGCCCGTCCTGCGTCATCCTCATCCTCTCTGCTGTGCTTACACAAACTGATGCAGCCAATGTGCCAGTCCATCTCCTTAAGGGTCTTCCTCTCCTTCATTGACCCTTTCCTTTGCAAAGAACAATGTCTTCTTTCAAGTACCGCCCCCTCCTGATATGCTTACAGCACCAACAAGTTGAAGTCTTACCTTCTTGCTTCTAAAGAACATTCTAGCTGTTGTTCTTTAAGACAAATTTGTTGTTCTTTTGGCAGTCCATGGCTGTGTGGTCAACATTCCTGGCCTACACAACAACAGAGGCATCAATTCTTCAGTTCTCCTTATTCACTGATCAACATTCATGCGCATTGGAAGCATTTGAAAGTACCACAGTTATGATCAGGCATCTATTGGTCTTTAAACTGACGCCCTTGCTCTTCAGCACTTTAACAGATCCTTTAAAGCAGTAAAGTAAAACACCATTTGCCTTCTTGATTTCTGCTCCAATATGAATTGATTGTGGACCCAAGTAAAACGAAACCTTTGACCATCTCAAACCTCTTTATCAAGATGCTGCTTACTGGTCCAAGATTTTTGTCTTTTTTTTTTTTTTAAGTTTAAATGCATTTTATTTTTAGACAACCTATGACATTTTTTCCCTTTAAAAAAATGCCTCTGCTCCAAATAAATGAAGGTCAAAATTAAAATGGAGAGCTCAAGATGGTATCTCAGTCCCATTTGTCTAAGTCCTGGTGTGGTGATGAAAAGCAGCAGCCAGATAAGATGACAGGTGATGGATCCAAAGAAGTGCCAAATTTGTTAACATTTCTCCATTTCTAAACCATCCTTAAAGAAAATCATGTATGGAGTCACACCATCCTCACAGTAGTCCAGCAGAGCAACCATGCGATCTGGATTCATGTTTTCACCAATAAAGAACTGGTAGTTTTTGAAATTAGCAAGGATGTGCTTGATCTGTTCTGCAGCCCGTCACAAAAGGTTTTACTCTTTCTGGTTTCTGTTCTTCAAGTTTGCCTTTGATTGATTTAATGTAGTCCTTGATGTACTTCTTGTAGGCTTCTTTTGTGAAGCTGGTTTCCTGCAAGTGATGGTTCATGACTATGTCAACCCCAGTGATTACTGTGCTTTCGGTTCCTTCACAATTGGTGCCTTCAGCAGAGGCATTTCCACCAATGAGTGAGTCATCAATGTTACCCTCCGTCCTACTGACCATCTTCCCCTCCACCTCCAGGCACAGTCCGTCCGCGATCTCCCGGATTTTGTAGATGTCGGAGAACATCTCATCGTGGGTGATGAGGTCCCGGTAGATGATCATGATGGCGGCAAGGAGATGACAGTGGCACTAACTGAGCAGGAGCCGGAGCGATTTTTGTCTTTATACTGAGGTGAAACCCATCCTGAAGGCTAGAGTCTCTGATCTTCTTCAGTAAATGCTGCAGGTCCTCTTCAATTCTTACAAGCAAGGCTGTCTCATTCACGAATTGCAAGATGCTCAGAAAAGTTCAGGGTCAGTGGAGGAGATGAAGACCCCCAAAGAGATGAGCTGGAATAGTGACTGCAACAACAGGCTTGAGCAGAGTGAAGGTTAGAAGGATGGTGGGGATTGGGCAAGGTTTTAATGTTAAACATCAGGTAGCTATGAGTCAGAAACAACCTGGCATCCAACAACAATTCTGCTCTGAAGAGGCAGCTCTTCCCCAGTGGTATTTTGAGTGCTTCCAACTGAGCCAATCATTTTCCAGAATTTTATTTAACAATGTTTTACCACTCTTTACACAGTTTTCAAGGGTCCATTATCTCAGAAGTGGAGTCAGTCCTGCTGTTTAGTCCGCCTTGGGCTGGAAGCTCCACTGAAGCCTGTTCACCATGGGTGACTTTGAAACACTGGTAGTACAGCTTCCAGTATCACAGCAAAATAAAGCAATCACAGTACGACAAACTGAAGGATGGGTGGTAGTAATTCACATTACTGCTATTACTTTTCAGTCACCAATTATACCACTGAAAACTTTAAACACAGCTATAATTAAAAGAGAATGAGCTTGAGTACTTTCTCTATGGTTAAAAAAGGAGGCTAAATATCAACCTTTTCGTGAATGTAGTATCAAAAGTATGTTTCTAACTTGAGGTGAAAGATTGACAAGGCTTTCCTTCCATCTCGTGGAACCTCAAAAGTAAAAATGACAGAAGGTACTACACGAATTATACAGGACAAAATGGGAAATAATAAATTGTTGAAATTGTTAACTGTATTAACAGTACTGTGCTCAATCTACCCATGTGAGCTGGATCTTGTTGCTATTTCAGTATCTGACCAGCCAGGCAAACATACGCTGAACTATAATATTAAAATAAGCACAGGCTCAAAATGGCCTAAAGGTTTCTACATTAAAATTACACTATAAAAGCATCATTATAACAAGACATAATATAACGTTTTCATAATCTTGTAGGGGAAAATTTTCTAGCCAAGATTGAAAGCCTAAGGTCACTTTGTCTTTTTCTTATTTGCCACTAAACAAGGAAGGGAGGAAACCCCAAATAGCTCTAATTAAATGAAGACATTCACTTTCACATTAGTAAAAGAAATGCCAACCATAATGACATACCATGTCCCACCTCTCTGATTAAGAAATAGACATTATGGTTTTGAGTAAACATGAGGAACCAGGCATTCTCACATGCTTGTTGGGAATGCTAGAGGTTCAACCAATTGTCAGACAGTCTCTTAAATGTCTAGCAAAATTGAGAAGGCACTTTCTTTCAGTAAGACTTTCTCCTACAAATATATTCACACATCTTTGGGACCAAGTTTTACATTGCTGCAATGTCTATAATAACAAACATCCTACAGGGCCATCTATACAAAGGAATGTTTACAGTGTTTTAAAAAAACTGAAGAAAGTTGTTTATATACTGGTGATAATGATGATTAACATATCTTTTTTTAGCATTTACTAAGCACCAAGCACTGTCATCTCTAAATCTACATAATCTCTAAAAGACAATGTTAAATCAAAAGAGGAGGAAAAAAGAAGAAAAAAAAAACACCACAGATACATTGACCTCCAGCAGGAACTGAACCTGAGCTGACCCTGCAGGGTTTCTTGAGCTATAAATTGCCCTGGAAAAAACTGAGCTTACCAAGATTGCACTTCTTTTGTGGAACTGAGGGTGGATTTAAACTGCCAGAGGGGCATAGCTTTGGCATAGCAGCTCTCTAGAAACTGCAGCACTGGGGTTCCGTAAGGAAGAAGAGGTAGAAGCAGGAGAGAAGCAGCAGCAAGAAACTAGAAGGTGTACAGGTAGTCTGCTCATATTTGTATTTTAAGAAAATAAAAAATTAGTATCTTTGTACAAAAAGTTATCTACAAAGACACACAAGCAAGTGTCTCTTTGAAGGGGCTCTGTGGTACGAAAGAGGTTTTTCACTGAACAATATTTAGAATTACTTAACTATAGTTGTTGTTGTTATGTGCCATCGAGTCGTTTGCGACTCATAGAGACCCTATGTACAATAGACCTAAACCCTGCTCTATCCTGTGCCAATCGCATTGCCTCTGACACACCATCCCGATTACC